GCAAAATATTTAGGCAGCAATACCTGTCAGGTCCATACATCTATTCCTGTTAAGTTTAAATTTTATACAACTTTCCTTACTGTAATATACAGTATCTCTTTTGTCCTGTTGGATTATTTCATTTTTCATGGAGAAAAGTGATCGATAGTTATCCAACAGAATTTTTTTTTAAATCCCCTTTCTCCTTCCATTGTATGGCTCAGTTTCAAGGTTTAATCGATAGGCAGCCACCATCACTATAACCAGTACCCTTCTAACAGTTCAGTCACTGACTGTTGATGCTTAAAACACAAAGTTTTGAGGTTGGCTTGCTGTTTATGGAAACCAAGATACTCAGAGGTCGTATCTTTTCAGCGTGCTCACCACCATCTACCACACAGTAACTTCAGTCAGTCCCGATACTATAATTCAATTAGTTACCTACCATTTGGGTAACAAAAATAACAAACCCAGTTGCGATTATAAGAATATTCACCCTGAGAACACAGAGGAAGTGTTTAAAAAAAATTCTGATATGTTTTCTCTTCATATATAGTTTTCTTCGTTTCTCTTCATCTCCTCTTGGGTACCTGGGTTTGTATCTAGCATTTGACCTCACACTTGCTTTGTCAGTTGACTTTTCATGCCACAGTCAGGTACTGGTGATAGAAAAGCCCAAAAAGGCTTGTAGAAAAGAGGCAAGCAGCAATCCACCAGGTGAGGAAAGACAGGAGTCCCCGGAACAGGAGAGGAGTGAAAATATTCTTTAGGCTTCCCAAAGCCATTGTTATTTGTACTACAGTTACTTTCATCTTTCCATCAGCAGGTGGAGACTCAGAATAAACTGAACTGGGAAGCAGACTGTTTTCTACTGGAGTGTCAGAATTCAATTCTGGGTAGATACCCCAAGAATAATTACCTGTTAAAAAGAAACAAGTACAGATTTTTGTAGAATTAAATTCAAGTTCTGTTATTTTTATCACTCTATAGATCATCTTATATGTATTTTTCACACACACAAAAAAAATCAAGTTTTTTTAACTTAGTAAATACTAACTGTATTCATCTGCATGGCTTCCTGATCATACTAGTAAGCTATTAGGGTAGGATTCATCTTACCTTTTGACATCCTAACATCTACATGTGATAGTTGCCTTGGGACCCTTGTCAGTGGTGGGTATGATTCATCTCACCAGAGGTAGTCGTCTGCTCCAGAATGGGATGAATCACAGCCTAATAAAGCCTATCTCCTTCTGTTGACATTTTGCAAAAGAACGCCACGACTGCATGGCAGGCTGCGAAAGACACCCCTCACAAGAAAGAAAGGAAAAAACCCAAAACCACATCCGATCTCCCAATAATGAAATGAACCCCATATCTCAGAATTTCTGTTCAAAAAGCCTACTTAAGATTGAAAAGCTGAAAAAACATTCCTTTAACAGGTGCTCATAAGGTTAAATCAACAGTACTTTATACAGCTCACTTTTTAAATACTTTTAAAAGACAAATATTTCAACAGAAGTAAACAGCTTAATTGGTTGCATTACACAATTTCTCAGAAATAAGTCAAACAAATTAGTATATAATTGGAAGATGTCAAAAGCAGCAACAGAAGAGGACTGCTTAAAAGCCACACATCAGTACGTTTTAAATTGCAGGAAACAACAATGTATTTCTGTATTGCAAGTACCCCATACATTCTAATTCTCTTTAGTAAGCTGAAAATATAAAAGCCCTGTGTAGAACAGAACACATTTCTGTTGATCCAATTTTGCCTACCTAGTGTTTTCAAGAGCAGAGTTGTGTGAAGGAGCATTACCAATGGTGCAACATACTGCAGTGCAATTACACAAAGATAATAGAATACCCGAGCCACCTGGGAAAACAGAAGAGAGTAATTCATGAGTTCCGGCTGATCAAAGCAAACCTTTATGAACATGTCTAGGAAAAATAAGAAATGTATTAAAAAAACAGTACTTATGCATTGAAGCTGTTTTAAAAGTTTTCTAGCACATCTTGGCATGTGACATATTGTCTTCAAAAGACCTAATGAGGAAATCCCTATAATGAACTCTAGTTTCAGGACATTTACAAATCTGAAAGGAAGTGCTGAAAGGAAATAATTAAAAGCATCAGTTCTGTTAAAACAAACAGAATCAATTTTGCTTCTGCAAACTGCATGTCATCATTCAAAGATTCCTACTTCAAGACACTAGAATCAAAGCTAAATATATGTTTAATTTTTAAAGTCCCAAGTGATTTACAAATCCCATTTCAAAAATGAAGTAGTAGTCACAGTTCAAAGCCTCATAAAAAGGAAAGGAAAGTTTAGTTAATATCGCAGTCCCTTTTCAAAAGCAAGATATTTTTAAGATTTCCAACCATGAAACCCCAGTATTTTAAAAACAGTAACGATGATTTTTCATAAGTAGTTGATCAATAACAGCATTTAAATGGTCTTTATTTCAGGTATACATTATGGTTCATTGAAATCCACTCAGATTTATCCCTCCCCCTGCTCCCAATCTGTTCCATCTTTCTCAAGATTGTTACATCACATATTTTATATAAGCTATTGACCTGAAAGACTAGACCAAATAAAGAAAGAAAAAAGTCATAAAATCAATAGCAAGCGAGCAATGAAATAAAGCTAACTAGATTTTAGAAAAGAACAGAATACAGGGTGGCAAAAAAGATGAAGGCAGACATGACATTTTTGGAAATACCTCTAAAACCTCAAAGGGCTTCATGATGAGCAAGCATCAAAAAACTAAGCAGTAAGATACTGACAGAAGAAAAAGCATAACACAAAAAATACTGTAAAATAATTGATGGAATATGATAAAAAGAACAAATTAAAAAGTAATGATCACTGTAGGATGACAGATAGAAAAGACTTTACTGGCAGAAGTTCCAGAAGAAGATAAAGCAGACCTGGCTAGTAAAACTAGACAGGACTTCATTTAGTGGCTATGGTCTTCTCAAAGAGAAGATACGGAGATACTGGATAAACGGATTTAGGAAACACCGCACAGAGAAGACGTTAGTATTTTATAGATAGGATGAAAGCTCCCAGAACCAAAATTATGCATTCACAGCAATCAGCACAGTTCTGTCCTAACCAGTTGCTGCTACTTGTATTTCCCAACATTTTTTCTGAAGCGCATTGCTAGCCACTTTATTTGTAAATAACTACTGCGTAGTCTACCTAGGACCTTCAGATACTCAGTGAAGCCAAGGACAAGATATGGATAAGGATATGGATAAGGCTGAGGTACTCAATGACTTTTTTGCCTTGGTCTTTACCGGCAAGTGCTCAAGCCTCACTTCCTGAGCAACAGAAGGCAAAGGCAAGGACTGGGAGAATGAAAAGCCGCCCACTGTAGAAGATGACGTTCGAGACCATCTAAGGAAACCTGAAGGTGGACAAGTCCATGGCACCCGATGAGATCCATCCGCAGGTCCTGAGGGAACTGGCGGATGAAGTTGCTAAGCCACTGTCTATCATATTTGAGAAGTCGTGGCAGTCCGGTGAAGTTCCCACTGACTGGAAAAGGGGAAACATAACCCCCATTTTTAAAAAGGGAAAAAAGGAAGGCCTGGGGGACTACAGGCCAGCCATCTTCACCTATGGGAAGATCATGGAAGAGATCGTCCTGGAAGATATGCTAGCGCACATGG